ATGGTAAGTTGGAGGGTCCGAGAAAAAGAGGAAGACCCCCAGCGAGATGGATTGGCAAAGTGACAGCATCAATGGGCTCAAGCGTGATAACAATTGTGAGGTTGGCCCAGGATCGGGTAGTGTTTCGTTTTGTTGTGCATAGGGTCGCTATGAGTTGGTGCTGACTCAATGGCACCTAACAACAACAACAATAAATACTTCCACCATCATCATTATTACTAATGGGTATCAGACACAGCGCTGGTTGTACAAAGTAGTCATGACCCTTATGGACTTACTTGTAGGCTCTTTTGTTCAATAATCCACAGGGAGAAAAGGCAACCAGTGTTTCATCACTGTCTGTAGATGATGAATTGATGGGTCTGAACAATGAAGCAGATGGTAGCTATTAGAGACCCCCAAGCTGCTGACTGTTGTCTTAGAGACTGGCACAGGTGTGCATGCATGCCCCTCGTTGAGTCTCTAGCCTTCTAGCCCTGTGCTCTTGGCTGTGTTTCAGACAACCCAAAGCACCTCCAAGCAATCAGTTAAAAGAAAACAACCACACTTACCTTGCCTGCATCATAGTTATGCTTGTAAGATTCTCTGGTACCTTCAAAATGCCACATGGACAAGAGGTCCAGGCAGGGAGGTGCACAGAGCTCTGGATTGGGAGTTAGGGACCAGCGTGTAGGTCCTACGTGGATCTTTTTCAGGCACTTCTCCTCTCTGAGTCTCAGTATTCTCAGCCATCAAATAGGAACATTCTATTGATAGGGTTGTAATGAGGAGTCAGTGAGACCCAGTTCAAATGCCACCTCCTTTGGGGAGCTTTCTGAGACCTTTTCAGAAGAGCTCACTGCTCACTTATCCGAGCTCACAGGCATTTACTTACATGACTGCCAGAGTAATGCTCATCACCCTACTTGATCTTAGGTCAGACTTGCTGAATCCAGACTCCAAATCGGAGGAGAAGTGAATCACACTTGTTAAGAAGTAAGTGTGGCAGGCATGGGCAGTGGAGAAACCAGCATACAGGAGAGCTGTTCCTGAGACCTCAGCCGGTCAGTCCTCCAGTGAACATTAGAGCCGGGTGCAGGCATTTCAGAGTTATCCTGAAGAAGGTTAGGGAACCAGTCACTGAAACCATCACCTCAGCCAGGCATTGTCTGAGCGTGAGGTCTGACAGCCAGGAGGGGTCATGACCTTGGGCCGGACTACAATTCCCAGTAAGAGGTGTAGCTGTCAGAATCAGCAGCAGTTGAGATCCCAGCCCTGAAAGGACAATTGCCAGAAACTATGCTAGCATGCAGGAAACACTGGAGCCTCACGTCATGGGACTTTGGTCTCTATTTTCGTACTTACCTGTTTGGTTTCTCCAGATGACTCAAATCCCTCTTTGGGTCAAAATCTTGTTTCATTTGAAGAGCACATTGTTGGTGTCTAATAAACACCCACCCAATTTAAATATCAGTACACCAGCCTGTCAATTTATTGTGCTCTGGTGGCTTGCATGTTGCTGTGATGCTTGATGGGAGCTATGCCACTGGCGTTTCAAATATCAACAGAGTCACCCTTGGTGGAATGGTTTCAGCAGAGCTTCCAGACTAAGATTTGTTGTTGTTGTTGTTGTTAGGTGCCATTGAGTCGGCACCAACTCATAGCGACCCTATGTACTGCAGAACGAAACACTGCCTGATCCTGGGCCAACCTCAGTACTGTTAGGGAAAAAGGTCTGGCGATCTTAGAAACATTATGGATCACAATAGAACATTGTCTGCCTCACTTGCTTTGTCAGTTGCTAAAGGAAAACATAAAGTTTGGTGAAGTAGAGGGCCCGAGAGATCCTCAAGGGGATGGGTGGGCACCATAGGCACAACAATGGACTTGAACAAGCTGTTGATAGTGAGCGTGACACAGAACTGGGCAGTGAGTCCTTCTTTTATACTTAAGGTCACCATGAGTCATAGCTGACTCCATGGGAGTTGTCTATCTAAAATATTGTGATCTCTTTCTTTGTCTCTGCAAAGAGTCATCACCTACTTATTCGAGAGACAGTGGGTTCCTTTTTCATGGAGTGAATCTGCACACCATTATTTTTTTTTTGGCCTCAAAAGAGAAAAAGGAAACAAGCCTAGAGAGATGTTACCTAATTAAAAGCACCCTGTACAGCCTTTGAAATGAAGGTTGACTGGGACCAAGCCTGGTATTTTGCCAAAGAAGGCAAAAATTGCCAAGGTGTCTGATGCTTGGTAGCAGGGTGTTCATTCTGAAGTTTTCCTGGGAAACTTTACCACACAGTGTAAATCTAGCAGAAGCTTCACACCTGCCAAATCCTCTAGGCCCAAGAGAGTTATTGTCCACACTCCAAGTCCCATATCAGATTAAGCCTGGGGACCCAGTTATTGTTCACACTTATCAGATTAAGCCTGGGGACCCAGAAAAACCACTTGTACTTAAAGGAGAGTATTAACCAATCATATGGGGGCTCCACATAAGCAATGCTGAGCCCACGCTCTCCCCTGCTGCCTTGCTGGAAATGTGCCTGATGTTGGTATCATCATCACTGCTCATAATAATAAGAATGGTATATTTACTGCTAGGAGTCCCTGAGTGGTGCAAAAGGTTAGAGGTTCAAATCTGTCCAGAGGCACCTCAGAATAAAGGCCTGGTGATCTGCCTCTGAAAAAAATCAGCCATTAAGAGCTCTGTGGTGCACAGTTCCACTCTAATGAGTTGGAAGTCACTCGATGACGTGTAACAACACTATTTACCGCTACGGCATTTTGTAAGACAAAGTGATTTTGCTTCCATTGTTGCATTATTGCTCTTGGTCCTCATAACAAACCTGTGAAGTGTGAGCTCGAGGAAGTTACTCCACCTCCCTGAGTCCTAGGGTCCGCATCTCTAAAATGATAATAACATCTACCCCCTTAAAGTTTGTTATGAGGATTTAATAGCTTACTACCTGTGAAACGCTGGAAGAGAGGAGTGTCTGACATTTAATAATCTCTTAATGAATGTTCAAAGTTACCAATGGCTATTTTTAGTGTTATTTTACAGGAGAGGACACTGAGACTCAGGGGCCTAGGTTTATGAATGTGAGGCGGCAGTGATTCAGTAGAAGTATTCTCATCTTTCATGATGGAGACTCAGGTTTGATCCCCGACCAATGTATGTTGTGCGTAGCCACTGCCCATATATCAGCAGTGGATTGCATATTGTTATGGACTCTGGCATGGTATTGGAGGATAAGTGCTACACTGCTAACCACAAGGTTGGCAGTTCAAACCCTCCAGCCATTCCTTAGAAACCCTATACAGGGTTCCTATGAGTCAGGATCCACTTGACAACACTAAACAACAACAAGAAACATGATGCTAAACATGGTTCACTGGAGCTTCCAGATCAATAGGAAGAAAGGCCTGGTGATCTTCTCCCAAAGCCAATGAAACTCTGTGGATCAGAAAAAGCCCAACCCACAAATAGTCATGGGAGTGGCACAGAACCAGGCAGCATTATATTGGCTCCAAGTTGGGGTCTAACACCAACAATAAGATTATGAACTAGAGCCCTGGATATTAAGGAAGAAAACCACCGTGGGATTAGAATACAGATGAGGCTGAACATTACTGAGCTGGAGTTCCCTGATAAACAATACATTAAGTGCTGTCGAATCGGTTCCACCTCATAGTAACCCTGTATAGGGTTTTTGAGGAGCGGCTGCTGAGTTTGAACTGTTGACCTTGTGGTTCAAACTGACCTTTCAGTCCAGTGCTTTATTTTGCAGTGCCACACCATGACCCCAACACACTCCATGTGTCCTTTAAACTCAGAAGCAGAGGGAATAGGATGTCTCAAAAGAAAAAGAAAAAAAGACGGAAGAATTGTGTCTCCAAGAAAGAAATCAAAAAGCAAGCAAACAAACAAAATAAACCCACTTGCACTTTTCATATAATTTAATCCTTATTTTTATATTTAGGCCTAATACCAGAAAGAATTTCATAATCAGAGACAATTAGGTTTGAAAAGATCTCTTTGCACTGAAGGCTTTTGAAGCCTGCACCGCAGCTGGGGTTTCCTGCAGATGTGGCCTCACCTCACCTGGGTCCTTTCCTCCCCTCAGCAGGAGTTCAACAAGCAGACCCTTCGAGCTCAGGCAAAAGTGTCAAAGTGTGACCTTCTGGTCTACTCTGCAGGAATGAAGCTCATCACTGTTCTTGCCATCTACATCTCCTGCTGTAAGTAGTAAGCCCGACAGAGCGCCGAGGCACTGTCCTTGTCTGTTTCTGAGCCATCCAGGTGGTATCCGATGAGGGTAAATCACGAGTCACAGACAAGAGGGAAGTGGAGCCAGCTCCCACCCAATTCCTCATACTTTTGTTTCTTTTGCAAAATGGACTGATCTCAGTGTGGGCATCTCACACTACTTCCAGGGATCAAAGATTGTTCAGCATTTGCTAAGGAAGAGGAAGTTTGACTACTGTTTCCCATTGCTTCCCCTTGTCTCATGCCCAGGGTTTTTTTCCTTTGTAAATGCTCAGTGATATAGTGTAGTGGGTTATGAGCTTGTTAACCACAAGCTTAGAAATTTGAATCTGTCATTCTCTCCGAAAGAGAAAGATGAGGCTTTCTGCTCCCGTAAAGATTTACAGCCTTGGAAATCCTATACAGAGTCACTATGAGTCAGAACCAACTCAACGGCATATAACCACCAACCACCTTTATTTAAAGTCACGTGAATTCCAGAGCAAAAATGCAAACATCCATCCATCTAATTTGTTGTTGTTGTTGTTGTTGAGTGTGTCAAGTAGGTTCCAACCCGTAGTGACCCTGTATGGGGTTTCTGAGAAGCTGCTGGTGAGTTTGAATCACTGACCGAGTGCTTAGTCTACAGTGCCACACCAGGACCACATCTAATTTAGAGATGATTGATTCATACCAGAAAGATACTTGATGTTAATTTTTGGCCATTATTAATCATCTCTAGAGATCCGATTGTATATTCTGCAAAGTGTCAAGGGGCCATTTACAACAAAGGTTTAGGGCCATTGAATACTCTTAGAATCTTTTTGTTTGATTCCTTGAGTGTAGATTTGTCCAGATCCATTTTTCTGTCTGTTTCAGCTGTGTGCCACCACTACCCGTTCTGCTGAGTCCATTCTCACTCAAGTGCCAGAGTGAACTATGTTCCCCAGGGTTTTCAGGGGTTCAGAAGTAGAACCTCCAACCCTTCAGTTAGCAGCCTGGTGTGTTAACCGTTTTACCACTCCACTCAGGGAACTGTTTCAACAGTGTAGTAAAAACTTTGGGGCTTCTATGTCAAAGTGTCAAAAAAGGGCTTCTCTTATTTACTCCATGATGGATTTTACGGTTGAGAAAATCATGGAGTTGGAAAGACCCAACATACAGGAAACTCTTAAGATCATAGGGGTTGGAGTACCTGCACTCAGGACATTCTTAAGATCATGGGAGGGGGCACCCACATGCAGGTAGGACCGTATCTATAGTCCCATGGTATGTCCCAAAGATCAGTGCTTGGGTGTGTTTCAATTATCTTTCTAGGGACAGGTAACAGTGACCCCACCTCCCCTGGGCTTCATGCCTCTGCCCAGCTGGATGACAAGGCACCCAAAGCCACCCTAATGAGACACAGAAGCTCCCAACTCTGTTGTGGCTTTTCTTCAAGGGCATATTTTTATTTTATTGCAGAAGTAATAAACCCATTGCTGTGGCATCTGACTCATGATGATACTATAAAGCAGGGTTGTTGTTGTAATGTGTTGTGGAGTTGGTTCCGACTCATAGGGACCCTGTACAGGCTTTCTGAGGCTGTAAATCTTTATAGGAGCCGAACACTTCATCTTTCTCCCACGGAACAGCTGTTAGTTTTGAACTACTGACCTTCCAGTTTGCAACCTGATTCGTAACCACTACGCTACCAGAACTCCTTATAAAGCAGGGTAGAACTACCCAATAGGGTTTCCAAGGCTGTAAATATTATGGAAGCAGATTGTCACATCTTTCATGGGTTCAAACCAACAACCTTTGGCTTAGCAGCCAAACACTTTAACCACGGTTCTACCAGGACTCCTTCAAAATAATTTATTGTTGTTGTTGTGAAGTGCTGTAGAGTTGGTTATAACTCATAGTGACCCCGTGTAGAGTTTCCGAGGAGCGATTGGAGGGTTTGAACTGTGATTTGCAGTTCAGTGCTGATCCCACAGCGCCACACCAGCCTATTCAATGTTGTTATTAAGTGCCATCGAGTTGGTTCCAACTCATAGTGACACTGTGTAGGGTTTCTAAGGAGCAGTTGGTGGGTTTGAACTGCCAACCTTGTGGTTTGCAGCCCAGTGCTGATCCTACAGCGCCACATCAGGCTTGTAATTTAAAAAGGGAATACATAGTAACAAAACAAAACTCTTCCTGGTTTTTGCCTGATGACAGTCCTTTTTCTACACCCACATGTATCTAATCACTTTTGAGTTTGGTATACATTCTTCTAGGCTTGACAAACACATTTAAAACATTTGAAAAGAAAAGTAATGTAACTTCCTTGTTAAAAAACAACAACAAAACAATCCAACACCGTAGAAGTATATAAAATAAATGTCACTTGTTTCTCAGCCTACCTCCTCCATCCTACTGCCTAGAGATATTGCTATTAAAAGTGTATATTTCCAAGACATGTAATTTAGTTATTATCCCCTTATTGGTGGACATGTGGGTGGCTTCCAGGTTTGTTTGTTTTTTTATACTAACATAAAAAAAAAGCTAAACATCCTTGTTTTGCCCACTTTCATAAGCATTTTGTAGAAGTAAAATTACTGGGTCCACATGTATTTGCCATTAAAAAAAAAAAAAATGGATTGAAGGCAACTTCCTGCCTCTTCAGTATTTTGTTTTTCCTGTGAGGTTGTAAATGCCCAATGATGCATGTAGGAACTGGCATTTCAGGCTTTGCTTTTTTCTGTTTAATATTGCAGCAGACCTGAGTGTATTTCTTCCCAGGAGGGTGGTTTTCCATTTTGCGACAGCCGGAAGGAGAAAGAGTAGAGATTGTGGTTAACAACAGAACATTTTCCCAACGTCATGGAAACTGGATTTGCATCCAGGTTTAGCAAGAAATGAACTGGGTTATGGGGATAAATCTGATCCCATTTTTTTACCCACTGAAGGGGCTACTGATGCCAGCAAGATTGGGTTGAACCACAAGGCCAGGGGTTCAAACTCAATAGTCGCTCCTCTGAAAACCTATACAGGGTCACTGTGACTCGAACTGACTCCACAGCACTAACAACAAGATTGCAGATGTTAGGGGAAGTCGGTGTGTGTGTGTGTGTGTGTGTGTGTGTGTGTGTGTGCTGTTCTCATTGGATCTCTTTTCTGCCTTATTTTCCCACTGGCAGTGATGGGTCCCACCCAGAGCAGCTTCTGGCAGTTTCAAAGAATGGTCAAACACATCACAGGGCGAAGTGCCTTCTTCTCCTATTATGGATACGGCTGCTACTGTGGCCTTGGAGGCAAAGGGAACCCTGTGGATGATACTGACAGGTGAGTGCAGACACTGGGGCTCTGAGGCCTCCCCACTTCTATATGGAGGGAAGTCCATGCTAGAAGCCTGGAGAAGGCATTAGGATTGCAAATAACAAACCAACTCCATCAAATTAAGGGGAGAACATGAGGGGAGCCACAGCATGGGTCTGGAGGAAGCCAGAGTCAGGGCTGTCCTTCTGGACTTGTCATCTGCAGAGTCACCTGAGCCCTGCTTCCAGAAGGGACTGTGCTTGGTTCCATGCTCTACTGTCACCATCCTGAAACTCTTACTTTTTGAACAAGAGGCCCTACGTTTTCATTTTGCATTTGTTGCTGTTGTTGATTTGATTCATAGCAACCCTGATAGGGTTGCCAAGGAGTGGCTGGTGGTTTTGAACTGCCACCCTTGTGGTTAAGGGTCCCGTGCTGATCCTACAGCACCATCCCAGGACTCAGTTTGTACTGGAGCCCACATCTCCTGCCCGGAGTGCTTGAAATGTTTTACCTTTCGGTCCTTGCGACAAGAATGGTCTTCCCTTCACTCCTCAGTTTTGAGGTTTATAGGCCCAGCAAGACCGACTTGTTTTCTCTCAGTCCTAATTCTGAAATCCAGGAGAAAGAATCTGAGTGGCCCAGTCTAGGACAATTGTCCATTCAGGGTATATAAGGTCTACTCAAAAAGATGGGGTATGTGTGGGATGAGTTCCCAGAAAAAGTGGGAGGTGATATAATCTGAGGAGGGTGTGGGCAGGTAGGAAATAGGAAACGTTGTCATTTTATTTGAAAAAATAAGAAGGCAAAATGGCTCATCGATTGGCACATTCAAGCTGATGTGGATAAATATGTTCCCGTAGCAGGGTCCAAAATGCCACTCCAGGAGTTTGGTTCCTCTGGGTTGGGTTCATGTGACCCTAGAATGTTCTGGTTAGGAGGACCTAAGAGTCCTGGAATGGAACTGTCACTCACGAAGTGCCCATATGTGCTGATTCCTGGGACTGATGATTTGCACATGAGGCCTACTGTAATCCTCAAGATGAGGCAGGATGTACCCATTTTGCAGGTGAGGACAGTAAGGATATAAGAAGACTACTAAACAACCTACTTTAAGACATGCAGCTTCTTAGTGGCAAAGTCAGGATATGAACAAGAATTTGGCTGTTTCAAAGGCCATGCTCTTTCCCCAACACTTTGAGCCTCCCCACTGTCTAAGTCCCAAAGGCCTGGGTCAAATTGAACACAAGTCGGAGATGACAGACAGCATAGAGCCGGCTTGTGGGCAGGAATGGTTGGCCAGGGCATCAACCTGAAGCATTTTCTTCTCTCGTTTGTTTGAATCCCAGGTCAGGTTGCTGTGTCTCTGCCTTCCTGTGCTTCTTTTGAGGTTGAGGAGATGGACTATGAGGGCTCTTCTCTGGCTATTTTCTTTTCTTGAATGCCCTCCTGTCTGGTCCCCAGCCTGCAGTCAACTGTGAGTGATAGACAGCAAGGCGTGGGTCTGCTTCTGCTGTCAATTGTCTCCTCAAACACTATCACAGTGCTTGGGTACATAGGAGGCACTTGGTAAACATTTGTTGAATGAAACACACGCAGAGCTAGATTTGCATCTTGGACTCTTCACTCTCTAGTTGAATAATTCTGGGAAACTTAACCACTCTGAATCTGGTTTCTTCTTCTATAAGTGGGAACAATGATGATGCTTCACAGACTCACTTTGCGGAGTGAATGAGCTAGCAACAGGTTCTAGAAAGAACCTCAGAATGATAATGGTTATTTGTGATCAGTCATTTCCTTCCTAGCCTTTGGCTTCTTCTCACCCATGAGAAGAGACAGGAGGGTACTTTCCTGCTCCTACCTAAGGTCTTCCTTCCAATGGACACCCCCCCAGGAGCCCCCACCCTGGAGGCAGCTTGGAAAGCCCCTCACTCCCTCCCCTCTGGCCCTCAGATGCTGCCTGACACATGACTGCTGTTATGAGAAGCTGAAACAGGTCGGCTGCCAGCCCGTGTTGAACAGCTACCAGTTCCACATCACCAATGGCACTGTGGTTTGTGAGTACCTTCTCTTAGAGCCTGGGCCTTCCCACCTCCTTCTGACCTGGAGAGATTTTAGGAAATGAGTCTTTGTGTCTCTGGTCTCTCCTACCCACTGCTGGACCACCAGCACGCTCCCGAGCATGAAGACCTACTTATGTCATGGAGTCAATTCTGACACATAGTGTCCCCGTGTGACAGAGTTACTGTTGTTAAGTGCTGCTGAGTCAGTTCCGACCCACAGAGACCCTGTATAGGGTCTCCAAGGAGCAGCTGGTGAGCTTGAACCACCAACCTCGCTGTTCAAACCAACTTCGCAGTCCAATGCATTCACCCACAGTGCCACACCAGTACTCCGTGTGTGGCAGAGTAGACCTGCCCTATAGGGTTTGATCTATAGAAATACATCACCAGGTCTTTGTTCCATGAAGCTACTGAATAGGTTCTAACCACCTACTTTTCAGTGAGTGGCTGAGCACTTTACCAGGCCTTCTTTGTACATAGTAGGTGCTCAACAAATATTTGTTGCCTGAGATTATATTGAGTTTCACAGCTTCCCTTGGCAACTGTTGTTGTTGGGAACATTCCTCCTTCTGTCTGTCATGTGTTACATAAAACAGCTCAGCTGTCTTTCAATAGAACAAATATTCATTAAGGGTGACTGCATGCCAGGCACTGTGATAGGTGCTGTGGGGACCATGATTGTAAGCCAGAGGGGAAGGGACAGAAATGAGTACAGTGTTGAGGCCATTTAAGGGGAAAGGGACAAGGCAAGAGTGAGCAGGTGGAGTGAGGGTCCAGGATGTAGGGAGTTGTCCCCGATCTCCTGAAACCTGTGTGGATAAGGCAAATCCAGACTCTGAAGAGCAAGCCCACTTGAAGGCTCCAGACAACTGTCTTCCTAGGGAACAGTTATCACTGCAGGGTAGCCAGTGGTCCTATCTGGGCTCATGGGTGCCATGAATCTCTTACCCCTCCCCCAGGCATATTTACTGTCAATTGTGAGTTTCCCTACAGTCCATCGGTCTCTTCCCAGATCAGAAAAACTATCATCTCCCCCTCTCATCTCCAGTGTCAGAGGGTGGGTTCTGTACCTCCTTTTCATATTGGGTACTTAGCGCTCAGACCCCAGGTCTCCCCAACACCCCAAACACAGAGTTCTGGCTTAGGGAGTCAGCAAGGGTGGAGGCTTCCCACCCTGGGGACATCAGCAGCCCCTCCACAGTGACCCAGCCAGTGAGTACAGACAGACCCCAGCCATCCTACTCCCACTCTGCCAAGCCCCTACTCCCAGGCACAGGGCTGAGAGCCGGGAGATCTGTTTGCCACAGATCTACAGATATCGGAAGGGCCTGCTTCTGATATGTGCTAGAACCTCCAGGAATCAGCAGAGACATTCACTTGCTCAGGACTGACTGAGTGCCTATCAGTGCCCATCCAGGGACAGTACTGCACCAGAGACCAGGGCCATGGTTCCAGATGTTGTTGTTGTTGTTGTTATGTGCCGTGGAGTCGGTTCTGACTCATAGCGACCCTGTACAGGATTTCTGAGGCTGTGAATCTTTATGGGAGCAGAAAGCCTCATCTTTCTCCCTCGGAACAGCTGGTAGTTTTGAACTGCTGACCTTGATAGGCAGACCAAATCGCTACTCTTTTTCATTCACAGTCTTGTGGAAGCTCCATAGCTGAAAGCACCTTTAGAGACCACTCAGAGCAAGCCCTCATTGTAGTGATGGGGACCCCAAGGCCCACAGGACATGGTTCCATCCAAGACAAAAACGCATGCATCTGGAGTCTTTCCAGTGCTCTGCAACACACTACCTGGCCTGAGTTTTCTGGACCTCAGTTTTCGGATCCATCAAATAGGTGTAGTAGTAACAGTTACACCTTATGATTATCTATGCTAGACATGACGGCCCCCACCTAGTTTATATGTATATACATTCATGTGTATTCTTAACCCATACAGTTACTTATCTTCTGGCTTGCTGAAGAGTAGATTAAACAACACTCACCATAGTGATATCTATGTAAGTGGCTGGCTATAAAAATCCTAGTACCAGGTTACAAATCGGGCTATAAAAACCCTAGCACAAGGTTAGCAGTTCAAAACGACCAGCTGTTCTGCAGGAGAAAGATGAGGCTTTCTGCTCCTGTAAAGATTTAAAGCCTCGGAAACCTGGTACAGGGTCACTTTGAGATGGAACCGACTCCACGGCCCAGAACAACAACAACCACATTCATGATGGGCACTCCTGACAAAGGTGACTCTTTTTGCCATTTTCACTCTCTTTAAACTATTTTTGGATAGCCATCTGACCTTTCTTTCTCTTATACTGATTCTTCTTAAGAATAGTGTATGACTTCTTCTTTTTCTTAGGACTACCATGAAATTTCAATACAAGATGAAGACTGGATTCCTTTTGGATGCTGTAGTCTAAACCCTTTTTCCAGTTGCTTGTGGAAAAAGATCAGTCTTTACTAAGCAAGAAGAATTTCTTCCTAATCTTGTATCTTGACTTTTACTTTTTCATAGTGGTTACAAGTCAGACTGCTAACCTCAAGGTCAGACGCTTGAAACTATCAGCCGTTCTGTGAAGAGAAGGATAAAGCTTTCTGCTTCCATAAAGATTTACAACCTCAGAAACTCTATGTAGGGTCACCAGGAGTCGGAACCCACTCCACTGCACACAACCACCACCATTGTATACGAGTGATGGTCTTCCCTGTCCTGGGGTTTTATGAAAATCTGCATCTTGGAGGAGGTTTGGTTGCAGATGACGGATGACGGGTTGGAAAAGCCCACCATGCTAAACCTTTGAAGCAGTAATTATTAGTTCTGTTTTTGAAGAATACTTGAGATTCAGAGAAGTTACTGAGATGGCCAAGGTCACACAGCCAGGCAAAGAAATGCTGAGATTGAACCCAGAGTTCATTGTGCCTTGCACCACCTTGCCTTGTGGCACTGGTTGTGGAGACAGTGCTGAGTATGTGCTTGACTTCAGGGCTCAACCTCAAATGTAAGTCTTACTGGCCTATAGCAAACTTCACAGGATGCTCCACCCTAGCTCAGGGAGAGGATAGAAGCAGCGGAGGTTTGCTCCTCTGAAATGCCCTAGATCTTTCCATTCTTACTAAAATGCCTGGAGTGGAGTGAGCACATGTTTTGGAGTCTGGCAGGATGATACCTTAATCCCTAATGCACTTGATTGCTAGGTGGGTTTGAACTGCAAGGTTGGCGGTTCAAGTTCACCAGCCGCTCCTTGGAAACCCTATACAGGGTCGCTATGAGTTGGGACCAAATTGCCAGCACTTAACAACATCCCTTCTAACTGGGTAATTGGACAGGCTGCCCTGGGGCATTAGACCCCTCATCTGTAAAGTGGAAATTCTCATCTTTACAAGGATGCTGCCAGATAGACAAGAATAACCCAGCGAAAGGGTCTGGCACATATTAAGTGTTTAGTTTATGCCCTTTCTTTTAGATGCTGAGATTTTTTTTTTCTTCTCCTAAATCTCCTTTCTCCCTCTACTTTGGGGGGAAGGGCTGGGTTCTGTTGATTACCATACAGGACTTTTTTTTTTTTGATGCTTTTCTTTGGATTTGCATCCCCTCAGACCAATGTCATTGACCCTTTACAGGATCAAATCTCCCCTTTTGTTGCTGTGTGCCTTAGAGCCCATTTTTGACTCATAGTGACCCAATATGACAGAGTAGAAACTTCCCATAGGGTTTTCTAGGCTGTAATCCTGGTGTGGAGTGGTAGGATAATTGCTGGACTGCCAACTACAAGGTCAGCAGTTCAAACACACCAACTGTTCCTTGGGAACTTCATACAGTATTGATAGTTAATCCAAGAAGAATGAAGTCCTTGACAACTTCAATCTTTTCTCCATTGATAAGAATGTTGTTTATTGGTCCAGTGGTGAGGATTTTTGTTTTCTTGACATTGATAATTACTGGGTCAAGGACTTCATTTTTCTTGGATCAACTATCAATACTCACAGAAGCAGCAGTCAAGAGATCAGATGACGACGTATTGCATTAGGTAAATCTGCTGCACAGGAACTTTTTAAAGTGTTGAAGAGCAAAAATGTCAGCTTGAGGACTATGGTGCACCTGACCCAAGCCATGGTATTTTCAATAAGCTCATATGGATGCGAAAGCTGGACAATGAATAAGGAAATTCGTAGAAGAATTGATGCCTTTGAGTTGTGATGTTGGAGGAGAATACTAAAAGTGCCATGGACTGCCAAAAGAACCAATAACCTGTTTTGGAAGAAATGCAGCCAGATTGCTCATTAGAGGCCAAGATGGCCAAACTTCTTCTCTCATACTTTGGACATGTTGTCAGGAGGGAACAGTCGCTGGAGAAGGATTTCATGTTTGGTAAGACAGAGGGTCGGAGAAAAAGAGGAAGACCCCCAATATGATGAATTGGCCAAGTGGCAGCATCGATTAATGCAAATGTGGCAACAGTAGTGAGGTTGGCCCAGGATTGGACGTTGTTTCGTTCTGCTGTGCATAGTGTTGTTATGAGTCGATGCCAACTTGATGGCACCTACCAACAACATGGAAGAACATCAGATTTACATTCATCCTATCATATTTCATTTCATTGCAATAATTACAATCCCTTCCATGCATCATCTAATAACAAAAGGGTACACCCCACAGGCCTGCCCCCACCCCTGGGCTTCAGCACACAGCCCCTCTCTTCCCTGAGTCCAGTGTCCCCAGCCGCTCCATCTGCCCCAGTCATCATCTCTGTCTCCATCCCTGGTGTCACTGCCTCTCTGGGAAAGGTCACGCTGTCCACTCTTCTCATTTGATGGTCCCAGGGACCTCTGATCCTGGGCTGCAAAATCAATCACTCCCCTCCTTTTGTCAAAAAACATCTACCTCTATATTTCTGACCCTCAAAGTCAGTCCTGATGGCAATTATTCACTATTGTACCACAAGAGTCTTATCCTCATTTCCTTTTGCCAGCCCAGTCCCAACAGATTGGAAATCATT